AATTACTAGAATAAACCTTTGTATGCTTAGTGCCGTGATCCGCCTTCCAATTGTATTTCAATGACTATTTTTCAGCCATTAAGCGTGTGTTTTCCATACAAAATCACTCGTCGGTTTCCTCCCTGGTTTTGTGACACGAGGGAAACATTTATTAACATAAAATAAAGAATCACACATAATATTCTTCCATGATTAACTGCCTTCGTGGCCGAACGGTTACCATGCCGGACTGCCACGCACAGGTCCCAGGTTAGATTCCCGGGCCGGGAGAAATATTTGTATGGCCTACATTTATTTCTCTCATAAGTTTGGGTGTAATTTGTAGTTGTCTAGGTGTGTCCATGGCACCTGCAACATAGGGTTTCCTTAGTGCGGGTCTATGACGAGTGAGTGTGTGTTCAGTGTGATTTCCTTTTTTTTCGATATCTTGTTTTTAAAAGCACTAGAAAATATTGAAGGTCCTAGTATAATCATCGTCAACAGACGTCTAGTGTACAAAAGTAATAAGTCCTAATACAACTACTTCTTATATGCCTGTGTGAAATATCTTTCATGTAGATCCAATTTTGGAGAATATCGTAGAGAATAAGATTTAATTTCACTTTTTTTAACTACAATATTCAGCAAGACCTGCAGTTGTAGGTACTTATCGCACAGTATTTAGGAGAAAAGCGATGGCAATAGCTTTTTTAAATACCTATTTCTCAAATGTTTCGACCCTCGTGTCCCCTCTTACGCAGTCGCGTGATTACATAAGAAGTAAAAAAGTTTTTGCTGAATTTGTCTTAAAAAATCGTTACAAGTTTAATTTTACTTACGTAATTTTGTAATCAATTTATTATTTACAAAAAGATATGAGTTTTTACAATATACAGTAACTTATTTATTTATTGAACTGAGCGTTTTATTTTTCTTTTTAACGTTATTTAAAACCATTTTACCGTTGTAGTTAAATGGTGTCGATTCTGGGAAAACGTAAATATCAATTTAGTCTGGAGCTGTCAAATTAGTCTACACTCATATTAGATTATATTCCTTGAATTATTTAAATTGCATGCATTTGTATCTCGCGTAAATTTTAAGGACCAGTCAAAATTTAACTTTTTTTTAAATAAAAAATAAGTGCGCATTCGACCTCCATCTCACCTGATGGAAAGTGACGATGAGGTCGAGGATGTAGCATGCACACCTAAATAATGCCTATTCACTCTCGCCTTGAAAAGGTCCAAGTTATAGCGTTCGGGGAACAAGTCTGCAGGCAGGGAATTCCACTCCCTAGCCGCTCGCCATACAAATGTGGAAGCGAAACGCTTCGTGTGAATCCGGGGAATATCCACAACATAGGGGTGGAACCCCCGCCCACGTCTAGTCTCTATTCTAGAGATGATATTTAGCAGAGCCATCCCATAAGTGGCAGCAGTATTCCATACACGACCGAACTTGTGCTTGGTACAGCTGAAGCAACTGTCCCGGTGTGAAGTATCGCCTCACCTTGGAAAGGATGCAAAGCTTCTTGGCTGCGTTCAGATTGGACGACAGGTCCATTCCAAGTAGGTGGAGACGGTCGGCCATCGGTATGGATATATCACGAAAAGTCGGAATCAGGTGAAAGGGACTCCGTTTGGTGGAGAAAAGACACGCCTGTGTTTTGATCGCATCAAATTTGACAAGATTGGCATCGCTCCAATCGGAGACTGCCTTAAGTGTCAAATTCAAACGACTAACCATGGACTCCCGACAAGACTGGATTTCTTCTCCACTGACCCTTGCATTGGTCAAGTACCTGTCCACAACTGTGCTGTCATCAGCATACCCAAAGGTACCTGAAATCAACATATCGCTTACATGCAGCAGAAAGTGGGTTGCGGACAGTACAGAACCCTGAGGAACTCGGCATCTATCGCCCTATGTTCGGAAGAGTAGCCTTCTAAGACGACTCGAATCGAACGTTCACTCAAGAAATCCGAAATCCAATTGCCAAGGGTAGTGGGAAGCCCATAAGAGGGAAGCTTGCTTAAAAGGCATGCCTGTCAAAGGCCTCAGAAATGTCTGAAGACAGCAATGGCTTCGCCATGCTCTTCTATAGCCTTGCTCAATAAGTGAGAGGCATACACAAGAAGATCCCCAGTAGATCGCCCTCTTCGGAATCCGTACTGGCGATCACTGAGGAGATCGTTGCCTTCAAGGTACGACAGGAAACGGTTGTTAAGTACACGTTCCATAGTCTTGCAGAGTATGGAAGTGACTGAGATAGATCTATAGTTGACAGGGTTAGCTCTGCTTCCTTTTATAGGCACTGGTTGCACATTTGTAAGCTTCCACGACCTGGGAACTACACCAGTCTCAAGAGGCGTTACAGGTGTGTGAGAATAGGAGACAACTCAGGCGCACAGTTACACAGGACTATTGCTGGAATTCCATCTGGTCCGCTAGCTTTATGCACGTCTAGACTTCGCAGAGTTCTGAGTACCTCTTGGCGTATGCGAACTGGCGCCATAGTGCATCCAGTCTGAGGTAAATAAGTTGGTAGGTATCCTGCGGCATCCAGACGCGAACTCTCTGCAAAGAGTGAGGCGAAAAAATTCGCCTTCTCTTCCGCAGTATGGGCCAGCGAGCCGTCTTCGACCGCTTTGGCCAGGGACCAAAAGGACCTGCTGCCTGCTGGAAAAGGGGCACACTTGGCCCAGCGTAACACACTTTTGCACTTCGTGGCGGCTTTATTAACGGCTTTCTTCAGATTCCGAGTATACGGAGCTTTGCGTAGTCGAGCATCTGCCCAAGCTTGGTACGCAGGCTATTTTTGTGCTTCAGCACGACTACAGTCAGCGTTAAACCATGGACGAGCTTGGGGTCCATTGGGTACATCGAAGTATGGTATATAATACTCCATGCCCATTCGCAAGACCTTAACTACAGCATCAGCACAGCTCGACGAATCTCCTGAAGTAAAGCAAGCCTGTCAGGGATATGAAGCAAAAAAATGGCGCATTTCGTCCCAAACTGCTAACCTGTATCGCCACACCCGTCTCGTACCACTGGAGCCCTGATCGGGTAGGGAGTATACGGGTACAGCTTTCACCAGACAGTGGTCAGAGGTACCCAATGGTGCATCCACAACCACCGAGTATCGGTCTCTCAACATCTGGGATTCTTGTGGCGTCACTGACAAGCTGGGAAAGGCTTAGCGATAACGCAAGTTTTCGCGTCTCTCTCCCAGCATGATCGGTCATCTGGTGTGGGAACAACCATTCTTGATGGTGTGCATTAAAGTCCCCCAGAATGACTAGTTGTGCCGCTGGATACCTGAGCTGAGCCTCATCAGACGTCTCGCTCAGATGTTGGAATAGCTTGATTGTCTTTTGATCTCCACTGTGCGAGAGGTAGACACAGCAGTGTACTATTTGGGTAACTCTTGTGTCAACCAGAAGCCACAAACTAGAAAAACTCGGTGCCTCAAGGTTCTTTACTGCTCTAAATTAAAATTTAATCTCCTTATATTTTATAAATAAAGAAAATGTTCTAAACCTACACGAAGTTTAGTTTGTTTTCCCGATTTGACGCTATTTTGTACAAGTAAAAGCAAACTATTACAGTTATATGAAAGAAATCCATAATGGAATTAAGAATATCAACCTGATTAGATACTTGAGGATAAATTTATTAAAGAATGTTTTTGAAGTAAATCTTAAGACAACATGCAACTTTTTTAGTAGTAGTAACATCATGTAATGTAAAATGTTAGTTTTACTTTAAAAGTTGCTGATCGTTATGCGTAGGCCGGAACCGTGAGGACATTCTTGTAGGCCTCTACGCATTCGTCAAGCGCGCACACGCAAATATAGATATTAAATATTGTCATATTTAAGTCACTCTTGTGTTTTGTCAAGAATTCACCTTTAACCATCGTACCTAAAAATCAGCTTAGTACCTTTTAAAGAACAACGACGATCTTATTATTGAACATAATTACACCAATATTATGAATTATTTGTACGCAAGTCAACTGAATTATTTTTCCCTTTTTCACTTTCAAATTGGAGATTTAAAGTTTCGTTTCTCATATCAGTCTTACTTATCATAGATCGTGTAGTTCCTTTTAATAGCACCTAACCCAACGCAACTATGTCATACGTGGCATGAAAGGGGTGTAATCGGGTCAGGCGACCTTCGGCTTGTCGCTAAATGTTACCCTAATTGCCCATCCCTCGATAAACCACCCGGGCCTTTTGTTTTACGGCTTTATACAAATAAATAAATGATCAGCCTACCTCTATATACTCTCTATAAATTAATATTGGTCCTCCTTGTTTCTTATTAACTTGTGTACTGTTCATTTATTTGCATTACAATCTTTCTTCTTATGTCGGTGCAAAATAAGTAGCGTTATGGTCAACGATGTCTTTGTTGTGAGTGTACGGTACATGTTTTACAGGAGCAAGTTGCATATTTTAAATACGGTAGAGTTCATTGAGTTAATTTGCAAAGTAAAGCGCACACAGTAGCGGCGATTCGGTACCGCAAGATGGGTTTAATCTAGTGCGGAGCGTCATTAGGTGGCCGCCGTTCGATCTAGTGGGTCGTGTAATAAACTCCCGATTGTGACCGTTGAGGCGGAGGCGGAACGTCAACAGCGGTTAAAGTGCGGCACTGCGGTAACTCATGCCGTCTACGAAAGAAGAAAAAACTGCAAAAATGAAAATTTTTTAGCTATTTTCAAAAATTTCCTTAGGCGTTACTAGGCAATCAACTGCCAACAAATTGCGATAAATACCGTAGCTGCGAGTGCAGCCCCGAACGAGCCGCTGCCGTTTCCGCTGCGTCAAGCGGCTCCGGCTGTTCTGGCTCTGCTACGGGCGACGGCCCGGCCCGTCGCCGGGCGCGTGCGCGCGCAGCCCCGCGCCCCGTTCGATTTTCGCTGTGGCAGCGCGTGTGGCGGCGCGTTGCATAACGTCGCGGCGGGGCACAGGCCGCACACTCCGACACTCCGTGCGCGACCCCGCTTCGAGCGCCCGCCGGCGCCGCGCACCGCGCCATCCCGCGCCCGACGCGCCCTTTACGTAACGCGCAAAGCACGACGCGTGCCCCCGGCGAGTGCACGACCAGACCGACAGTGTGAGTGTGAGGCGAACGGAGTTGACGGAATCGGCGCGGCCTCGCGGCGGTGGCTGGTAGGTTTGGCGGCGGCGCTGCGGCGCTGTGCGCGCTCTTTGTCCGGGCGCGTGGTGGTGGCGGTGGTCGCGTGCTGAATAATTGACGCGGAGGCTGCCCGCTATCGACCCCCTCGCGTGACGCGCGTGATTACCCGCGGCAAGGCCGCGTCGCCCGCCGCTGCCGCACTACGTCGCGCCGCCACCGCCGCCGCCACCACCGCACAGACAACTTGGGGCCTGGCGCCCTGGCACTCCGACTCTCTGGTTTCTGACCCCGGTAGTAGATCCCGATGCCCAAAGAGGACGTGCCGGATATTTAGTGACCTGTCATTTGAAGGCCGAATATGCGCAGTTCACCCGTTCGGTTTCAGGATAGAGTTTCACGTATCCAATTACAAGATTGATATATTGCTGCAGAAACCGTAAATTGAGACGAACGTGAGCGGGTTCACTGTGGATAGCCTATAGTTTTTCACTTTCATGATTCGTGTTTCACTTTCGAAATAGTTCTGCCTGAGCTCAAAATAGCATTCAAACAAACGCACCTTTTGTCAGTGTCAAAAGCATGCATCTATCGATTTAAAGCAACAACAAGGCATGATTCATTCTTTCAGGAAAGTTCGTCTTAACCAAATGGTTATAATTGACAGTTGGAGCGATAAGGTGAGCGGATCGAAACAGTAACCTTTACCCGATGATGGGCTTAGACGACCTTAACGTTCTGTTCACCGTTACATAACACTTCTATATTCCATAACAATTTAATCCTAGTAAGTAAACTATTACTGATTGGCATCCTAATATTCACTACTGTTTGCTTTTCTAACATAAGAAGTTTTGATAAAGTTCATTTCTACGTGTAAACAACAATTGATAAGGTGTGTTGGGTATTGGGTCCTGACCACTTGGGAACTAAGTAAAACAGGCTTTGTTACGTAAAAGAGGCTATTACGCGCGCCATTCACGTGCGCTGCTCGATTGCTCACGTTATGGTTACCGACAACAAATTGCACAAATACCAGAAGTAACTTAGAAAGAAAAACAAATTATTTAGAAAATTGCTTAGACAATGAATGCGGCTAAAAATGCGGGCGCTACGAAACTGCTACGCGCGACTCGTAGACGGCTACGCGGTATTCGTTGAAGGTTACAAAGTACCGGCTGACGTTACATAAGAGATTTATCCCAGAATCCTAAGTTTCTTTGTGACGAGAGAGACCATATTAGAGTACTACAAAGGTAATCTGTGTATAATTATCTACACAAATTATATAACCTATCTGTGTTTCCAAGGAACCAAATCAAATAATATTGTAGATATATTAAATACCAGACGAATCCTGAGACATAAAGTTGATTGATTTTTGTACCTTTAATATAAACTTATATACATTAGAACTATTGGGCCTGTCTCCTAATTATATAACCAGAAATTATGGATTTCCATTAAGACTTCATATTCTACCGAAATCTCCTTGGATGACATTGTGGGCTGGCATAATAAAAAGCCTACTGATGAACCAGTGGTCTGTATCGGAATTCGATATTCAAAGTGTGATTTTTGTAAATCCTATTTCAAATTCATTTAAGTATAATACAGATAAACAGTCTTAAAGGATGGAAAAAAAACAGTAAAGAACTTTCGTGACTGTATTTGTATATAATTTGTGACTGTGATTGTATATGTATAATTGCCTAGAAATATATACCTTTAGTACTTATAATACATGTTAGTGAAAAAAAAAACCATTTTCGCTTTTTAAAATGAGCTGACTGACCTCGTTGCATCGTAATTATACCTAGTAGTTAGTTACCATTATTTTATAAAAGTTTACATAGAAACAGGCAGTGAGCAATATAATATCATTGGAAACAGGAAACAGACGTATTAGCACGTTATTATTATGTTGTTTACTTTTTCTCATTATTATGTTAATTCTTCTATTATTTCTAGAAATTTCTGAGGTTGTATTATACATTGTTTATTTAATATTAACGGATTTTTTGTGTGTTTGTTTGTAATATCTTATTAGTGCTTACATACAGACACCACTAAACAATATATATGCATACAACAAGAATTTAAAATGTACAAAGGCAAGCATAAACTCGATGGTATAGTCCATAATGCAACGGTATCTATGTACTAGTCATAATGGGATTTTTTCCAAGTTGAACAAGAACAACTGAAAAGATAGTTGATTCCTCGGTTGCAATGCCGTATATAAAAAAAATAATATATGTAACAGCGAATGTTACATAGTCAATGCTCATGTATGTACAGCCAATAACGTGTTTCATCATCTCAAGATTTAAATCTCATCTGTACACTCAAGATTTATGAAACATCAGTATTTCAAGTTTTAAATCAGTCACATAACAAACTTAGAAATAAATTAATTTGATTTCTAGGTTTCATGAGAAATATAACTTATATAACTTCCTGAATAGTTCCCAATAGATTCCTTTCAGTACCTAATACGTGTACATTTTTCCTATACACTAAGACGTAACTCTGAAAGCGATCCTGAACGATAATTCCGATGACGTTTGCCTTGGAATGGTGCAAGAACTGGAGACGAGGACCTAGTTCACACATTATTATTCACATATCTACCACTAATCTGCAAGAATTTTATTTTCTCGTTCCGGACAGTTCCGGAGTGTGGATATCTTTGCTGATGATTATTATAACTCGGAGCTTTTTAGCGATAATAAAAATAAAATCAGATATATTTGACTTGCAAAATACATAAATAACAAGCAATTACGTTATTCTTTCATAATACAAAAAAAAAACATTAATAGAAAACAGAGAAAAAATTCTACATAAAATAAATAAGTAGTAAAAGGCATGTCAAAAGAGTCCATGACTCTATGCTAATTACATAGCTCATCATGGCATGTCATAAAATTGAAAACTATAGTCAAAATATGTATTTTGCCACATTAATTGATTATTAAATTCAAATACAAATAAGTGGAAATTATACAATTCGGCTCTGAATAAATTTGCCACAATTAACCATTATCATATAAATATATATTTTTTAACTTATTTGGTTTACCAACAGCTATTGCGTTGAGGCTTATTTACTAGGTACATTGATTTGTGGTTTTAAATTTAATACACAGATAATTACAGGTAATCACCTCATGCAAAAAAGGCAAAAGAAGCCTTATTAACCTAACTTTATTTAGGAAATGAACCAATTTTTTCTGATCTCAATTGTTTATATCTGTTTTTTCAAACTAACCAACGTTTCAGGCCCTGTTACAGATCTCATGGTCACGGCTGATACCAATGTCTATACAACAAAATACTATTTTATTTTAAAATTTTTGAAAAACAAGGGTAACCAATCTCCATGTACGTCCAAATATTCATTATTTATTTTATATAAGTTATAAATTCTATATGTGGGTGAGTTCTAGTCGTATATTAATGAATTTAAATATTGCCCAACACTAAACGTGCACAAATACATAGAACAGATATACATATAAACACTAACTCTGCTTCGTAAAGCGTCTCGAGATTACTTCTCAAGCAGCAACAGATAACATTTATTTGAATATTGGCAGTGCCCGAGACACTGCCGTTCGAATAGGAGGAGGATATATATTTGTATATAGAATAATGAATACGGAATTTCTAGGCAAGTGGCTTCATATTCCACCACATAGTCACTTTCCATTCCGTAAGATTGTGGTTAAATGCTTGTCTAATATTCTTTTAAGAAACGCAATCACCAATTGATCGAAATAAATTAATTCTATTGAATTACAACCTAAATCTCATCAATGTTCGATCGGAATTGATTGCGCGATTAGGACCTTGAAAATACATCTACAATAAGATAAGACCAACCTTAATAATAAATAGATACGAGCGAAAGCCTACCCAATAAAAAGGAATTATGCGTAAAATAGTGTCTGTAGTCTCTGAGAAGGGATAGAGGTACTACTAATAATTTTAATAATTTTAAAGTTTAATTTCTTTTTAAGATTTCAAGTGACGAGTCGAACAAGTCCTGCGACTGGTGGTAAGCGACACACTGCCTACAGCACTTGCAGTGCCACTCGGAGCTTTAAATAGCAAAGATCTGAGGGGCACTGCCACTACGCCCGTCACCTTGAAACGTAAGTTGACAAGTTCCACGTGCTCGTAATTTCACCAGCACTCTTACTCTTCAAAACTGGAGTGCAGTAACACTCACATTATTGCTTGGCGGCAGTAATAGGTCAGGTGACAGTACTTCCCTGGACGAACACTATTATAAGGAGCTCCACTAAGTGAGAAATTTTAATGAATTCGCAATAAAACCGTTATGTTCAAGTGAAGGCAACGTCCGGATCCCTGGTTAGTCGTTTTTTCATTAATCGGTTACCGTTTGCCGCTTAATCGACTTGTTAAATGATTTCCGATAATCGAAATGATCGTGTAAATTAGTTTTGCGTTGACTTAATTCCACAATTACCAGCATGCTCAGATTTACATTTTGGACTTTTAACCGTAGTTATTAATGATGAGGCATAGAGTTGAGTTTAAATCTTAGGACAGTGTAAACTTGAGTGTGCTGTTCTTTACAGTGTACCTGTAGGAAGTTCCCCTTATATGAGAATTTATTCCCATAGATATTCTGTGTTTATTTAGAAATGTCAACAAACATTTACACGGTATACAATTAAAGAAATAATATAATAAACATACCTATTTCGGCACATAATATGACAGATCATTTACATATGGAAAAAAGCATTGAGGGCATGGTGTTTACGAAACTGATAGATAATATTTTCCTCTAGATACGCAGCCCTTTAATTATTTGAAAACATCGTTAAAGACCTTAAAATAACATACCTACATTTGCTATCCACAAATATCTTTAAAAAATGGTAACTTAGCCATAAATAAATGATAGCGCAAAATCCTGCATCGAAAACGCTAAACAAAGGCCAAACAAAACGCATTCTAGTCCTCATGCCCTAGAAAGCTGACCCAATTGCTTGTTTTA